CAAAACCTAGCAACAGCTAGTAAATACTGAAGCCAAAGCTCAAATCCCCAGTCTTCTCTCTTCAGGATTTCCGATTTTATTTCTGGGGTCATATAACCTATCAGAGTCTCCATCTCCTCATCTGTAAAATGGGATGATGATGGTGCCTAGCTTATCTGGTCACCACCAGGGTGAAAAGAGATAACATATAAATACAGTGAGTGAGCACTTGCTCTGGAGCACACAGTAAGTGCTCCCTTCTTCTGCCCCTGCTTCCCTCCTTTTCTTTCTAAGTTCACCTTTGATAAGAAGGCTTTCCTGCCTACCTTATCCCTCATCTACTGGGCTATCTATTCTGAGCCATAATAGATCTTGCCCTCTATTTCACTCCTATAAGAGTCTTAAAATAAGTTATTTTATTGTTTTCTTATTTTTCTAATTATAAAAGCAATACACACTCGTTGCAGAAAAATATGTAATAATACTGATAAGGCCAAAAAAAAGGAAGACAAAAGTGAAGTAATTGCCTTAAACTCAGAGATAACCACTCTGGGTATATGTATTTTATGCATGTACTTCCAGATCTTTCTCTAAGCATATTTTCATTAAAAATTTTATAGCCATTTTATAATATGCTTTCTCCACTAAGTGTTATATCATAAACATCTTTCTATTCAAATAAATATGCTTTTGCATTATTTATATCAGTCCATTGCATAGATGGAATCTATTCTATTGCATGGATGCATTTTGTTAATCAGTCTCGTATATTTGCATATTTATGTTGTTTACAACCAGTGTTGCGATGAATATCAATCCTCACAGCTATTTTTTTTTGTTTGTTTTTTTGCACATTCTGAATATTTCCTTAGTACCCACTCATCCCTTTTAACACAAAGCTTTGTTCTGATCCTAAGTTCCATTAAGTTGGCATGTATCTATGTCTTGAAAAACTTAAAATCCTTCTCAAGGTCTGCAATGAGTCTTTAAATTTTGAAATTTCTCTTTAAGCTTAGCCTGATGAGCCTGTCTATCCCATAGTGTTTCTTTGAGGGTCCAGGACTGTGCTGTTCCATATGGGAGCCATTAGCATGTGTGTGACTATCTAAATTTTTAAAAATTAAAGTTAGATTAAAAACATAGTTACTCAGCCACACTTGACACATTTCAAACACTCGAGAGCCACATGTAACGGGGGCTGCCGTATTGGATGGTAGATAGAGAACATCCCAGAAATCCCTCATCACAGGAAGTTTATTGGAGAGCCCTGGTCTCGTGGAATATGGTGATAAAAATTTGCTTTAAAACAAACAAACAAAAAAAAAGATTGAAGCAATCACTTTTGTTCTCCCATCCAACTCTCCTCAAGGCAGCCCTCAAGAAAATCCAAGACATAGATCTAAACTTCTGTCATCTCTCTTCTGTCATCCCTCTGTCATACCTCTTTGGTTGGACTCCCCTGGCCTCAGGATAAAGCCTGTGGTGTTCCTAACAACTCTCTCATCTGCTGAATAGTCTCCTTTTCCCCCTGCTCCACCCCCCAAACTGAATGATGGGCATTTTCCAGAACATTCCATGCCCTCTCACACATCTGTGCTGAAGCCAATCACAACCTCTGCTTGGAAGATCTTCCCTTTCCTATATCTATGCTTTTATCTAGCTAAATTTCGCCTGTCCTTTAGGACTTGGTTTAAGCTTAGGCTTCCCCTGCCAAGTCTTTTCAGCTAAAGAAGCTAAAAAAAGGCCTCAGACAGGAGTTTTAGCACTATGGTCACAAAATCACACATTCTTGTAAAGTTGGTAAAAATAAGATATTTTCTCTGCATCAGTTAGGAAACACTTCCCTCCTATTATTCTTTCTAGCATGTCAATCACACTGCTGAGGCTGCCAACTTTTGCAGAATAGCTTTGGGGAGTGTCGCTTAATCTGCAAAGCAGAAAGACATTTTGTATCAAGCAAGTCAGAAAGGAAAGACTCCTGATGCGAATACATGTAAAGGTGGCGTTTGTCATCTTTATACATTAAATTATGGGAAGTTCAGATTAAAAAAATGGAATATGGAAGTACTACTCAGCCATAAAAAAGAACAAAACCTGCCTTTTGTAGCAACATAGATGCAACTAGAGACTAAGTCAGAAAGAGAAATAACATGTGATATCACCTATATGTGGAATCTAAAATATGACACAAAGGAGTCTATCTACAGAACAGAAACACACTCACCGACATTGGGATCAGACTTGTGGTTGCCAAGGGTAGAGGGGTAATGAGAGGGATAGGCCAGCTGGGAAGAGGTGTTCTCCCCTGGGAAGAGGTGAATAATAATATTACAGGCTGGTTGTAATGATTAATAAGTGAATTTAGGCCAAGCACTAAACACAGAACCATCTGGCCCAGGTAGCAAAGTTAGCTAATATTATAACAATTTCATAGGAGTACTATTTAATAATCTGTAAACCAGATAATATAATTTCAGTATGAAAAAATAATCTGAGTATGAAAAAAGAAAATTGTTGCTTCCAAGAAAACTTTGTTGAATTCTTTATAAAAATTTGATAAAGTCATGATTTTTAAAAATTTTTGTTGAATTAATTATGGGCTAACCAACCATAATATTTGGAAGGGAAAACACTGTAAAAAGTTCAAGGCCTGAAATCAAATTATTTTGAAAGTTGCTTTAAGCTCCTCATCTACTTTAACGAAGAAGTCAATGGCACCCCACTCCAGTACTCTTGCCTGGAAAATCCCATGGACAGAGGAGCCTGGGAGGTTGCAGTCCATGGGGTCTCAAAGAGTCAGACATGACTGAGCGACTTCCCTTTCACGTCTCACTTTCACACATTGGAGAAGGAAATGGCAACCCACTCCAGCGTCCTTGCCTGGAGAATCCCAGGGACGGCGGAGCCTGGTGGGCTGCCATCTATGGGGTCACACAGAGTCGGACACGACTGGAGTGACTTAGCAGCAGCAGCAGCAGCAGCATCTACTTTAAAAAAAAAAAAAAAGAACTAGAAACTGGGGTATGTTGGGTGTCTATTTTCTTTCTTTGCAAGAAAGATAAAAACCAGTTCACAAATTGTTATATCAGAAGATGGGTGAATGAATATACAGACACAAGTTTTAAGTAAAAGCAAACAAAAATTTTAATTATACATGTATTTTTTTAAATAATTCCCTTCCTTTAAAATCTTTTTTGATTAACTGGTCAAATATAGGTCCTGCTAAAGTTAAAGACAGGACTTCTAAAATAGATGCTCAAACTATTTAATGAATAAATGAACAGCGATGCATAAGTGAATGATGAAATAAATGGCTAAGTAAAGTGGCCATTTCTCTTAGTAATGACCTATTTTACATACACACTGCTAATCAGGGTAAAAATGCTTGTCCTTTTGTTACTAACCTGATGGTTAGTATCTTAGAAGCAAACAAATGTGGGACAGCTTCTTGGGGTTTTCTCTTTCAAGTTCCCTAAAGCTCTTCTTTTCTCTACTATCGTTTTTCCATTTTTTTCACCTGCTTGGATGGATGAAAGAATCTTAGTGAAATAAAAAGCTCAATGAGGTGAAAACACTCATAAACACTTCCATTAAGGAGTTTACTAAAGGGGCTTGTACCCTTGTCACTTAGATGGCCATATTTTATTCCTCCCAAGGAAACTGGATACTCTTAATCCAAAAAGAATGCAATGAGAATCAAAGAGGAAAAGAGAGGGTCAGGTTGCAATCCTTTCATTTTCCAAAGAGGACTCATGGGGGAGGGATAGGAAGAAATTTATAACTAGCTATTCTAGAGCCTTCTGAGCACAGAAGTTAAATCATTCTAACTTCTGCCTGACTTCCTCGACCTCAACCTGATGAACAAAGCGAGATTCAGTGTGAAAGGGGAAATCTGGCAGAAATGGAAAATAAAAGAACAGAAGTATAAATAATTAATTTAGAATATACCTTTACATATAACATGTAGATAGACTGCACTAAAGGATGCTGTCTCCGCTGGATGATGCAATGCAAAGAAGGAAAAGAACTTGGGGTGTGGAAGTGGACAGAATCAGATTCAAATCCTGCCTAGGTCACTGAGTGACCCTAAGGCAGGTTATTTAGCCTCCTTGAGACTTGGTTTCTTCATCTGTTAAATGAAGGCAATAATACCTATTGGCCAAAAAATGTGTGGATTATGTTAAATAAAAAAACTAAATATAAAATTATGTAGCACAGTGCCTATCTCAAAATAAGTCCTATTTATGGATTTAAAGTAAGGGGTTTTACAAACTTAGAGCTACCAAAGAGGGGAAGAGAGGGATAAATTAGGAGGTTGGTTGGGATTAACAGATATACACTACTGTATATAAAACAGATAAATAAGGTCCTCCTGTATAGCACAGGGAACTCTACTCAAAACTCGTAAGAGGGACTTCCCTGGTGGTCCAGTGGCTAAGATGCCACGTGCTCCCAGCGCAGGGGACCTCGGTTCAATCCCTGGTCAGGGAACTAGATTCCAAACACTGCGACTAAACAGATCCTTCACGGTACACCTAAAAGATCTAAGATCCCACATGCCGCAACTAATATTTGAAGCAGCCAAATAAACAAATAAAAATATTCAAAAAGGCGAGGGGGCGGAGACTAGGTAGACAAAAGCAGGGGTGGAGACAAAAGGACACCCACAGAGATGAATGGCTACGTCTCAGGGGATAGAAGCCCGGATTAGAACAGAAACAACCACTGAAGCAACCGGCTTCCATTTTCGGGAAGCATAAACAGCAGCAAGAACCGCAGCGGTTCAGCCAAGCCAAGAAGGGAGCCAGATCTGAAACGGAGCGCCCCCGCCCCCCCGCATCTTCTCCACCACCAGGACAAAGGGCCAGTTTGAATGTGTGCCCCGCTATTTTAAGAAGCAAAGATTTTCATTTGGCAAGCGCTCTTCACACAACACAAACCCCTCTTTCCTCTGACATAAATTCTTCCTTTAAGGAGAGAAAGAAGAAAGCCTCCGTCGTCGGAGCCCGCGGGTCCCAACAATGGGCCGTGCGCGGCTGCCAGCGCTCCTGAAGGGGGCCTGTGTGCCCGGGCGGCCGCCCTCCTTATCTTTTATCTCCTGCCCGCGCCAGAGCTCCTGTTTGTCCGGGGTGTTTTGCCGACTTCTCTCCTTCGGCGGCTCGGACAAAATTTGCCGGCTGCCGGCTGATGGGAAACAACCGTCTTCTTGTGCCTCGGCCGTCCTGTCTTCTCTCCAGGCCACGGGGGAGAAAACGTGTCTTTGTGGCCTCCCTTCAATAGCTTTCTGCATCCAAACGCCTCGTGGGCTCTGGCAGGAGCAGCCCGCGAGCCTCTGAATAGACGGGGCTGTGTGCTCCTCTTTGCAAAGCTGGCCTCTGATCCAGAAGGGCGTCCGCCGCCCAGGCCTGGTAGTCCCGGGACAGACTCCGGGGCGAGCCGGCAGATGCCGCAGCCCGTGGAGTCATCATTGCTCGTCTGTGTGGGGTGCATTCAAGCCCGTCCACAAAAAGCCTTCAGAGCTGCTGGCTTGTGGAATGGACATTCACCGTGGATCTGCTCTGAGCCTAGCACAGCCCTCGCCATCTACTCTCTCCTGAAGCCTGTGATTAGGCTCCACTGTGGGTACCATTCTAGGCTCAGCACGTTATAGTTGAGGAAACCAAGTCTCAAAAAGCGTAAGGTGACTAAACAGTTACAAAGATCCAGCCAGAGGTACCAATTGCTTCAGAGATGTTTAGGGCCCTCTGAAAAGCATCTTATTCTCTGCTAAGCAATGAAGAGGGAATATAACTCCCACCAGCCTAGTTGATGGATACCATACCCTTTCTGCCCACATATAAGGCAAAAAGGGGAAGTAACTGATTCCCCTTTCCTTCACTCCATATTCCTCCTTCCCACTCTATAAAGCCCCCTTGAAATAAAGAAACGGAGTCTCTCACCAGGCTGACAGGTCAAAGTAGCCTTCTTCACTTATATTCTGAACCTACACATCTCTGATGTGTCTGGTTTGACCTTTGCTGGACAATGTAAGGTGGCCTGGGATGTTCCTCGGGCTCAAGTAGCAAAGCTCAAAAAATTCAGCTCTGGGGCTCACCTGGTGGCTCAGAGGTAAACAATCTGCCTGCCCTGAAGGAGACACAGGTTCGATCCCTGATCCAGGAAGATCCAGTGTACTACATAGAAACTAAGCCCGGGAGCCACAGCTACTGAGCCCATGAGCTGCAACTACTGAAGCCCGGGTGCCCTAGAGCCTGATGCTCCTCAAGAGAAGCCTGCACACCACAAATGGAGAGAAGCCCCAGCTTGCCGCAACTAGAGAAAAGCCCATGCAGCAACAAAAACCCAGGACAGCCACAAAAAAAAGAATAAATAAGTAAAATTATTTTTTAAAAAAAGACTCAACTCTGGAACTGTGAGCTAAGTGACATTTAGCAAGTCACTTCTCCGGATCTCATTTTTCCCTCTGGTAAAATGGGCGTGCTGATGCTACCTCCACAGGGTGTTATAAGGGTTAAATAAAAAGGGAAAATGAATGTGGGAGGGCAAAACAATAATACAGTTATTCTGCAGCAGTGGCAGTGTATAAATACTAGGGTAGCGGCAGTGGTAGGAACAAGAACCTTACTACAGCCCTTGAGGCCTGAACACTGACTTCAACCTTCCACTTTGCTCAGTCATACAAGCAACGTTTCATGTGCGCTCACCAGGAACAGTGCCTTATTCCATAAACTCTCAGAGCTTCCTCGTCTGTAAAAGGACTGCTGGTGGCAACAGGGAGGCAAAGAGGTGGGCTAGTTGGTACCTCTACAGTTAGTATGGAATTTGCAATCTGATGACCAGGGGGACAGACTGATCTCGTAAATGTGTTTTATTTGGCACCTCGTTGCTTTTTTTTCTAAGTGAGACTGAATTTTAAAATTGGAAATTCTGACCACACTGAGCCTCTAGTTGTACAAAGGAGTAATCAGGTAGAACTGATAAAGCCTTCTTCCTCCTTACACAGAGCAAGCAGGTGCCAGTTCACCACAGTCCCCACCACTCCCTACTGCCTTATCAAAACTCCATGTCATTTCCACTTGGTTGTACATTTATATTATTGTCGTCCTTGTAGTAAATATCTGGCCCATGCGTATCAGAGTAACACTGGCTGCTGTAATTAACAAAATTCCAAATATCAATGGCTTAATGCAATAAGTTTATTTCATGTTCTTATAACAGTCCATGATGGTGGCTTTCCTCTAGATGGTGATTTAAGGACCCAAGTTCCTTCCATCTTGTAATAGTGCCATTCCCTCAAGTTTTGCTATCTGGCCTTCAGTCAAAAAATGGAGAGAGAGTAGGAAAAAACCCTATCTGCTTTCTACAAGCCCAGGCACAGATGGGGACATATATAATTTCCCCACACACTTCATTGGTCAGAACTAGTCACATCCCCACCACTCCCCCAGATGCTAAGTGGACGGAGACATACAACTTCCAACTGGAAAACTATCTCTGACATAACTCTAATACAGAAGAAGGAGAACTTACTTTTTGTTGCCATAAATCTCTGCCACATTTTAGCTTTAGGAAAGGGAGGGGTAAATAAAACACAGACTAAATGCTATAGGATTTTTCTTACATTCACTTACTGTACTCATTTATAGTCCATCCCTTATGGGTACTTTAGCTTTCAGTGCCTGAGCTGCAAGCCCAGAAACAGAGCAGATTCTGATCCCATAGTCTGGGTCTGAGCCTGAAATTCTGCATGTATAACAAGTTCCCAGGTGATGTCATGATGTTGATCTGTGGACCACGATGTCAGCAGCAAGTCTCAAAAATACTAGCCTTCCTAGACCATCTGCCTCTCCTCCCAAACTCCAGACCCTGCCTAGATAAACTCGTATCTCTCTCTCTCTCTCTCTCTCTCTCTCTGCCTCTGCCATACTTCAGTGAAATTATGTTTATTGATCTGAAATGATGTGTATTAGTCTATGAAACACTCAAGAACAAAGACTGTATTACTCATGCTCAATACATGTCTGCTGGAAGAATCCACGAAATTTCACTGAGAACCCCAGCTATATCATAGGCATGCTCTGTCGCTCAGTTTTGTCCTACTCTTTGTGACTCTATGGACTGTAGCCCGCCAGGTTTCTCTGTTCATGGGATTTCCCAAGCTCCAGAATACTGGAGATGGGTAGCCATCTCTTCCTCCAAGGGATCTTCCCAACCCAAGGATTGAACCCACATCTCCTGTGTTTCCTTCACTGGCAGGCAGATTCTTGACCACTGCGCCACCTAGGAAGTCCTGCTGTATATTCCAGGATATGTGGTGAATGAAAGGAACACACTCTTAGTATTTCTTGTGTGCCCACCATGGTGAAACGAGCCACAGTGTGGCAAGAAAATTATGGCCTCAAAAGGCTTTGTATCTAGTCGGGGTGATGAGATGTAGGCCAAAGGAAAATGAGGGCAGAACAGTCAAGGGTCAGCTTACATGCTGCCCATTCAGGGAATCTGGAGAAGGGAAAATGGGAGGGAATTAACTGCTCTTTTATATGCAGAGTCGGCTATATGTCTGCAATGGTGCCAACCAGAAACCTCTTGTGCTACGGGCTGAATTTATCCTAACCCCTAGCACCTTAGAGTGTAACTGTATTTAGATGTGGGATCTTTAAAAAGGTGAAGTGAAAGTATTAGTCACTCAGTCGTGTCTGACTCTTTGCAACCCTATGGATTGTAGCCCGCCAGACTCCTCTGTCCATGGGATTCTCCAGGCAAGAATACTGGAGTGGGTTGCTATTCCCTTCTCCAGGGGATCTTCCCTACTCAGGGATTAAACCCGGGTCTCCTCTATCACCTTCTGAGCCACAAGGGAAGCCAGGGAATTTTACCATCTGAGCCACTAAGGAAGTTTTTGATTAAAAAGGTAATCAAGCTGAAACGATGCAATTAGGGTAGCCCATAATCCATCATGACTGGCGTCCTCATAAGAGTTTAGGGGGACTTCCCCGATGGTTCAGTGTCCAAGACACCACACTCCCAACACAGGTCGTCTGGGTTCAATCCCTAGTCACGGAACTAGATCCCACATGCCACAACTAAAGATCCCACTTGCCACAGCTAAGACACAGCAGGCCAAATAATAAATAAAAATAAATATTTTTTTAAAAAATAAAAGAGTTTATGACACAGACATACACAGAAGTGAAACCATGTGAGGACAGGGGGAGAACATGACCACCTTCAAGCCAAGGAGAGGAGCCTCAGAAGAAACCAACGCTGCTGACACCTTGATCTTGGAAGTCTACCTCCAGAATGGTGAATAAGCCATTTTTTGTTTTCTTAGCCACACAGCCTATGGTACCTTGTTACAGCAGCCCTGGCAAAATAGCACACAGTGTCTACTTAACTTCTTTACTACTCAGGGTCCTTGCCTCTCGATGCAAGAAAAGGAGGTGGGAGGTAGATGTTTGTGGAACATCTCTGGTGTGATGTGTTAGGCAACTCCCCTTATCTTATATCATCTTCATCACAACCATGTGATAAATAGCTAAATTTCCCCCTTTTTGTAGGCAGAGGAAAGTGAGGGTCACAGAGATGAAGAACTTTTCCTCTTTCGCAGAGAGAAGTCAAGGAAGCCAGGTTTACAACCATCTCCATTTACTATAGACACTAATCTCTCTAGGCTACACCATGTTGCTTCTCTGAATGTCAGCCCATGGACCTGCTGAGAACAATCAAACTGTAGACTGTGTGTCGGAGCCCTGGAAAGTATTTTTAATCACTGTCCATCTGAGAAGCATTAGAATTACTAAAACAAACCTGATGACATTTCTGAACAAAGGGAATGGAAGAAAATACTGGGGCTCTGGCCTCGATACCCACACTTCTAACCTTTTAACACTAAACAGCCTACAACTATAGCAAATTCTACCCATGTTCCTACTCTTTCCACTCAAGTTGACTCTGTGAGTTGTTGGTTTTATCAAAATTGAGTGAAAGTGTTCAATACAATATTGGATTCATTGAGGAGAAAAAAAGGAACAGAAAAACCCCGGTGCTTCAATGCCAGGAACTTACAAAGACATATAAACCATGAGGAATTCCAAGGACTTACTCAGAAGCCGCTCTGCAAATGCACTTCTTGAACAAAGGGCCAATGTTCCTTTCAGGGAAGAGGGCAGCACTGGTTTCCGGCATTTTTTCTTTAAGTCATTAGGACCATGCCAACAAGCAAACATATACTTCTCCTGGGAGAAAGAATCTCATTCAACACGGCTTACAAGAGTTTGATTATTGGGAAGGGGGTGCTTCATGGCACGTGCCTCACCAGCCGGCCCCCAAATGTACA